TAGACCACCGTGGTCGTCGTTCTAAATAAATTCTCCTAGGTATATTATATACAAGTTATATTTGATAAATTGATAATTTAAATAAACGTTTTAACTGAATAACGAAATACATGTAGATAAATTGTGCTCTTTCCCTTTAAATTATAATAATACAAAATATAAAAAGACTTACAATTAAATTAGTGGGTATTTTTTCCTTCGACGTATGCAACAACCGAACTTCACTATAATTATTATTAATTTAACTTAATATGAATATTTTATGTAAAACTTGCAATGATTATGAGTTTCTTGGGATAAATCCAACAATAAATTGCAAAATAATTTTGAATAAAACTTAGTTGTTCACGAACAGTTTGACAGATGGCCGGTACACTATTTGTAATGTCGATTTTTGCAAGTAATACACCACTAAACTGTACACAAACAACAATCGACACTAATTACACTATTAGATCACTAATAACAATATTGAAATTATAATATTTGTATGATAAACAATTAAAATGTATTTATTATTACGGCCAGCTGAAAATGACAATTGTCGTCGGTGTTGCCAGTCGAAGAAAAAAAAAAAAAAGTGTTGCACGTATACATCAGCTGTTTCTCTACAGTATCTTCTAAACTTTTCACAGCCAATGTTTTTGCCTGATGATTTGGCTTGTAGGATAACGGAAAATCTGAAAATCAGATTTTTGTCAATTCCAGTTAATTTGGATGATATTTTGTAATCTTGGAAAAAGCGCCTCGCAGTATTACAGTCATTTGTACCCAAACCCCTTAAAAGGGAACAAAATACTGTAATATACAATACACATATATGTAATACACAAACAACATAAAAAGCAATCAGCATTCCAGTTTACTCACGAAACTCTTGTTGCGTAGTATTTTTTTTTTAGTTTGTTTCAAAGCCTTTTATTCTGTTAGCAGTCCATCGTTGAAAATCCAGATTATAAGATATATGGAGAAGACATTCCATACACCGAATCTTCATATGCAGTGACGAAATTCACTGCTTATAAATTTCTTCACGAAGTGGTCTGGAAGTCAAAGTGTCTAAATTATTCATCTTGCTCGGTTTTGCTGAGCAAATGGTACACGTTGCATATGATGGTACTTGAGCAATAATATTGGCCACTTTTCCATCAATCATGGTCATATGCAATTTCATGTGATTATATTTCCACACCGTGTAGATATTCGTTCATCAATTTGTTTTTTCATCTCAGACTCTTCAGACTTTTAAAATCTGTCTTCGAAGTGAAAGTGAACTTCACTGATCGACAATGCAGAGTTGAGCAAGGTGTGGGGTTCTCCCAAACTATATTTTCATTTCCAGATGATGGGCCAGACACTAGGCGAAGAGGGACAATGCTTATCATGACTACTGATGAATCATCAAACTCTGTAGCTGTTTTTAACGTTTTCTGTTTATAGTTACTCTGCGACGAAGAACCATCAACCCCCCATTTCCAGGTCAACTTGAGTTTTTCATTTTTTGACCTATTCACAGAATTCATATCTAGTAAAATCTTCTAAACAGTGTGCTCCAATAGCGCTTACAATTTAATTTTAGTTCCTTTTTCGGTAATCTCAATACTCTCTAGTGGTGGATAACATATTTTCTTGGAATTTACGAGCTTTGGATACGATGGAAAGGCAGCAAAGTTTTCTTTTGTCAGAAATTCTTGAAGAGCTTAATACTTCCATGTCGAGATCGCAAGTGATGCATAAAGAGCTAAACACTTATCTTCAGAGACAGTACTTAAGCTCTATTTTTTTAATAATCGCTCGTGTACTTCAGATAGCTTTTTTGGATTACTGGTAAGATATTCGACCACTTTTGCCAGATTCATTTTGCCGTTGTCTTTCAATTTTGTTAAGTATCAGTGCTGCAACTCTCCCTAGGTATTTTCATCTACTATGGGATTAGAACGCCTTTTTTTTATTTATTACTTAAGTCTTCGAACGGTTTCCGTGCTCCTTTTCTGGAGATGTTTCCGCTTCCGTAGTACTTACTGCAAGATTAGGAACATAGGAATCCATATCTACTGGCTCAAATAAGCTGCGTCCAAAAAGCCCAACTCATTTCTCAGGTCACACTATCACAAGCATGCCAGTTGGTGTTTTTTTCAACCACTTGCGATTACTTACACGATTCATAAAAGTTTTTTGAGTTCTACATGACTCTGTTCACTTTTTATTTAACTCCTTGATGTTCTTGTCTTCTGCAGAAACTGCGGTATTCAAAACAGAAATTATACATTCATATAGAAATATATAATTTTTCAGATTACCGCCACTTCTTAATTTCACAAAAAGATCTAGGTTGGTACAAATTCCAGCCATAGTTCTAATATCAATATAAAAATAAAAGTATTTCACTGTGTTCACAAATACGCTACAAGAGTGAAACTAGATGTAATTAATTAATGTCTTTGTATTTATAGTCAGTGTTAATTACTCAAGTAGTGGACATAACAGTGACTGAAAATGATTCAGTCAATCAGAGACAATTATTTTTCAGTGACTCGTTTGTTATGCGCTTAGCCGACCGCACAAACAAATGAGTCATCAATCACAATGCAGGCGCCACCGATAACATGCTATAATAACTAAACCTCTACCAGAATTACTAGTTGTAAGTACCTGTGTGTTATTAAAACTATATATTTATCTAAAAAGAAGGCAAAAACAGCCAAATGAGACATAAAATATACTTTGAATTTATTTTAAATGGCAAAAAAATTCATTCAAAATATTATTTTTTTACCGAACGATTACTCGCGCGGCTGTAAGTGGCCGCGGCTGATTTATTTTTTAGTGGATAGAGAATGACCCTAACTATTATATACCAATGCCATACACCCAACATATTTGTACCATTGAAGAAAAAAAAATAAAACGTGATTCGCTCCATACAAAAAAGACATAATTTATTTTTTTTCAGACAAACTATCAACTCTAGAAGAAATTTTACAAGAGTAAAAGTTGTAAGGAATGTCATAACACGTCATATAAAAAAAAATCGTATCGATATTGGAACTTTGTTGCCTATGTCCACCAATTTTCAATTTGGGTCCACTGTGCGGCGGGCTGTGTACACTCGGCTCGAGACGATAGATAATAAACTGCTAGTGTTTCCACATACACTACACCATGTACACTTTTCAAAGCTAACTTTAATGTTCATACATTTAACAACAATCAATTCTCAATCTAAATCAAACAATCAAAATCTATAATACCATTATATTTAAAAAATAATAGGCTCAATGGCTCAGCTCGCAAACATTTTCTCAAACAAATAATTCTTTATAACATGTAAAACTTACAACTTAGACCATGCAGTATTTATTTTTCATTCTACATATATGCTATTCATAAAGTAGTTTATCAGTAAATAATATAAAAATCCCATAAATTACGCCAGTATCCATATTCATAAACCAGCTCGTCCATACTGACTATCCACATCTCTCTCTCTCTTCCAACACATGTTCCCAGTTTATCTAGAGTCGGACTCCCTGTACTGATATCCACGACAGTCAAAATAATCAATTCCAAAACTGAATACCACTGATTACGAAAGAGAACCCTTGTTGCTTCATAACTCAACACGTGCTACAATAAAAGTTACCACGTCACATGTCAGTATTAAGCAAGTTGTAAGCGACGCGTTCTGTGCCTTAAAAAACAAAATAATTAAAATGATGTTTGTCTATGTTATTGTCTCTGCGTGCGGTGTCGTAGTCGTTTTTAAAAAAAACTTATAACCGGCGCAACGGACGCCACGCAGTCTGTACCTAGATGCGATCGACACCAGACGTCTTATCTCTAATTAACCTTATAAAATTTATGTGTCGAAAATAAATCCAATTGTTTTAAAAGCCTTCGTTTTTGCCATCACCATGACCTACCATATTTTATACCATACATTTGGTCATTCGGCCGGATTTATGTACCGCACACCACCAGCGCACAAAATGGTAGGAACCCGAAGTACTGCACGCAATAAGGACTGCATGCAGACGGAGCAGCATCCTCGTTCTGAACAGTATCAAGATACGCCACGGCCGAGTAATATGAAGCCTACAGAAGAGAAGACGGCGACCGTTATGAGCACAAATTCAAAAGCGGGTACTTGTAAAGAAGAATGCCAACCGTCGACGCCCGTTACAACGAAGCGTGCAAAGTCCACGAAGTCTTCGTATTCATCTGTACTGGCACGTAAAAAGCAGTTAGAACTCTATGCTGCACAGAAGAAAGCTAAAATTCAAATGGAATTAATTGACAAACAATTGGAAGCAGACCTAGCTGATTTAGAAGCAGAATACAGTCCAGACCTAGAGGATAATCGCACCAACATTAATAGTAATGTGGAGAGGTGGGTCGAGCACAGCCAGCAAGAATTGGAAAACACACAGTTTGCCCACGATCATGGTTTTCAACAGGGTGATACGTGTCCGCCAGCAATAGATTCTGGCACTAATGGTACTACAGTTCAGATGCTAGCAAGCGCTCTAAAGAACATGGCCGCCGCCTCTGCGAATAGCAACTCGAATGCTAAACTATTGTCTCGATTGAGCACGCCGAAGGATTTGCCATACTACTCAGGGGACCCCATGGAATGGCTGCAATTTAAACAGGCCTATGAAGAATCGACTGAAGTCTGCAACTTCAATCCGAAGGAAAATTTATGGCGTTTACGGAAATGTCTACGTGGAGCCGCAAAGGAAGCGGTATCAGCTTTACTCATCAGCGCCGTAACTCCTGATAAATTAATGGCGACACTGGAACTAAGGTTCGGTAATCCAGATATAATTATATCACGCTTGATACAAGAATTAAAAAAGTTACATCCAGTGTCACAAGAATATCAAAAGGACATAGTGTACTTTGCTGTGAAAGTGCAGAATTTCGTGGAAGCAATACGAGCCGTCGGCCGCCAGGAATATTTACAAGGTATAGATGCATTTACATTATTATTATCTAAGATGCCAACTGTTCTTGTATCTAAGTGGTCAGATTATAGTTACACATTGTTACTAGAAAGAAAGAAATCTAGATTAGAATTATTATCCGAATTTCTAACTCAAGAAGCAGTAAAGATTTCCACAACATCTAACTTATGCTTAATAAATGCACGCAGCGATAAATATAAAAATTATGATAATAATATAAGTAGCAGATCACATTCTGTTTTAGTACTGAATGATAAGTGTCAATACTGTCGTGTTTCAAGACACGATTTAACAAAATGTACGCAGTTTAAAAAAGCGCTAAGAAAAGATAGATGGCGATACATTAAGCGTAACAATCTTTGTTACAAGTGTTTATTGTCAAGTCATGAGCGCGAAACATGTCCGGCGCCCGTCTGCGATAAAGATGGCTGCGGCGGAGCGCACCACCGGCTTCTGCACTACCCCGTACCCACCGGGTGCAGGACTAGCAACGTCACCGCCGAACAAGTGAACGAATGTCCACCCGTGAGTGAAACTGTGACCCATATTAACGTAAAGAATCAACAAGTGTTATTAAAAGTAGTGCCGGTAAAAATTCGTGGACCATACGGTGTTATTAATACCACCGCCTTACTTGATGACGGTTCAACTGTGTCGCTCATAGCTACCAATCTCGCTAACCGCGCGGGACTGAGCGGACCCAGCGACACATTACGTATGTGTGGTGCATGGAATAATTCTGTAAATTTATGTAACACTACTGTTGTAACCTTTGATATTTTCTCTGTAAATTCATATGATAATAATGATGTGTATACTGTAAAAGCTCGTACCATAAATAATTTAGATTTGCCTATACAAGATTTATCTACTGTTAATTACAACTTGTATAAAAATTTGCGTAAAATTAAAAATGAATTGTGTGTAAAAAAATTTAAACCTGAAATACTATTAGGGCAGGATAATTATCATTTGTTAATTCCTTTGCAAACTAGTTTAGGTAATAAGAATGAACCCGTCGCTACACGCACTCCCTTAGGTTGGTGTATACATGGTTGTTTAGGTATACCGGAACATAAACAATCGTCCCACTCGACCCTCCGTATCTCTGAGTTACACAGCTTACCAGTCGACGAGAGCGAGCGCATGTTACGAGACATTCATGACGAGGTGCGACGGTCATTCACCATCGAGTCCATGGGAGTGTCAGGTAAGCCACGGGAGAATGCTAATGATATCCGTGCCCTGACAGTGATGGAGCAAACTGCTACACTCATCAACGGCAGGTGGGAGGTTGGGCTACCATGGAAAGATGAAAGCTGCAGGATGCCAAATAGCTTCCCTAACGCTGTACGCAGATTAAAAGGTACAGAAAAGAAAATTATGTTAAATACGGAATATGGTAACAGGTATGTCGAACGTGTTAATCATTTATTACAAAATAATTATGCCAGAGAGTTGGAAGACTGCAGTGTCTCGCCACGGACATGGTACTTACCACATTTTGGGGTAGACAACCCAAATAAAAAAAACTACGTCTAGTCTTCGATGCCGCAGCTGGCACAAATGGTTTGTCATTAAATGACTATCTACTGAAGGGGCCGGACCTACTTACATCTCTGTTCGGCATTATGGTAAGATTTAGGGAGAACAGAGTAGCGGTGACCGGCGATATAAAAGATATGTTTTTAAGGATAAAGGTAAGAGAAGAAGACCAGAACGCACTCAGATTTCTGTGGAGAAGCAGTCCTGCAGAACATAAAAAAACGTACGTGATGACGTCATTAATATTTGGCACGAAATGTTCACCGTTCATAGCTCAATTTATTAAGAATAAAAACGCACTAAGTTATGAGTCATCGATGCCAAACGCCGTAGCAGCGATATGTAATCAACATTATATGGATGACTACATAGACAGTTTGCCAGACGAGGCCGCCGCCATAACAATGGTACGTAATATTAGTAAAATTCACAAATCAGGTGGTTTTCATATTTGTAATTGGACTAGCAACAGTCCAGCCGTATTGGATAGTATTCCAAAGGAGTCCTTGGGTACTACGGCCGTAAAGTTCAAAATAGATCAAGAATGCGAAGGTGAACGTACGCTCGGATTGATATGGTACCCGCGCGAAGACGAGTTGGGGTTCGATGTGTCTCTCAAGCGCATACCACATGACATAATTAATGGTAAGAATAGACCAACAAAAAGAGTTATGCTTGTCAGATATTATGAACTAATATGTAGGTAGATAAATAATAAATACTCTAATGTGTCACCCATTGTACAAAAGAATAAAGTATCAGTCACAGCCTACACTTGTTGTTTGAATAACGTAACATGGCGCAGTCGGTATAGTTAACAATAATTAAGTAAATATATGAGTATACGCAAATATAATCGGCATTAAATATAAATAATAAATATATATACAGTGTAAAATTAATACAGAACATTATAAAATAAATTGAAATAATAATTATGGAGACCATCTTGTCGCCGCCATTGCCTTTCACATTTGAGGAGGGCATGCTGGATTCTTCGGGAAGATTGTGTGACAATTGGGAGAAATGGAAAAAAGGTTTCAAGATATATTTTTGTGCGTGTGAGTTGGAAAAGAAATCTGCAAGTATTCAAATGAACATATTATTGCATGTTATTGGAGAACAATGTCGTGAAATTATTGATCAGTCAACGGAACGTATAAATAACTTAGACGGTGTTTTTAAAAAATTGGACGATCATTTCAAAATTAAAAAGAACGTTACGGTGGAACGTCATAAGTTTTTTACAAGATCGCAAAAAGAAAATGAATCTATTGAGCAATATGTTTTGGATTTAAAGAAATTAGCACAAACATGTGAATTTGGAATTTTGAATGAAGATTTAATAAAAGACAGATTAGTGTGTGGATTACATAGTTCTACTATTAGAGAGCGGTTAATACGAGAAGATGATTTAACGCTAAATAAAGCTATGAATATATGTCGAGCGGTGATAGTTTCCCGAGTATATTCAGATAATATAAAACAAGAAAAAGATATGATATGCGATATCAGTGACCAATCGAGTAATTTAAGAGGGGACGTATGGCAGATAAAAAAGAAAAATAACATATCATATTCAAGAAGCGGCCGTCAAAATGATGAAGCTGGACCGTCCCGGGTATCGAAGTGGGGAACACGTGCGTCGGTGCCGCCGCTGAGTCATCGCGGTCGCTGTGACCGGTCGGAGCCAGCGGTGTTACGTAGTAATAATGAAACGTCGTGCGGTCGGTGTGGAACGGTGCATAATAGATACAAATGTCCCGCGTATGGAAGAAAATGTTTACGTTGCTCCAGAATGAATCACTTTTCGCGAGTTTGTCGCGTTTATCAAGTGGAACAATCGGAGGACGAGGTAAATAATTTTTTTAAACGCAGTAGTCACCATGATATTTGGACGGTAGATTTAAAACTAAATTCTATTTTTCTAAATTTTAAAATAGACACAGGTGCTGATGTCAATGTTTTACCATTTAAGTATTTGTCTAGGATTAATATATATAAGAAAAATTTATTAAAATGTGACACAAAATTAATAGGCTATTCAGGTGAAAATATAAAAATATTAGGAAAAATTTATTTAAAGGTGTATTATAAAAATAAAATGTATGCTTTGGAATTTAAAATTGCAGATGTAAATTCAAAACCTATACTGGGGCGTGAAGCTTGCTGTGAGTTAGACATCATTCGGCGAGTCATGTCTATAAAGGAATCATGTAGTAGTCGTGTTCCGGAGATAGTGGAGGAATATGCCGATGTGTTTGAAGGAATAGGATGTCTGCCGGGTAAGTACAAAATAGTATTAAAAGATAATGCAGTTCCAGTTATTCATGCTCCACGAAAATTGCCATTCGCTCTGAAAGATGAGGTCAAACAAAAACTGGATGAAATGGTTTCCCAAAGAATTATAGCAAAAGTTGACGGTCCTTCAGACTGGGTCAATAGTATAACAATTGTTAAAAAAGCGAATGGTGATTTACGCATTTGTTTAGACCCGAAAGAATTAAATATGGCAATAAAAAGAGAATATTTTAGGCTACCTACGTTAGATGAAATAGTATCAAAGTTGTCTGGAGCTAGGTATTTCAGCACTTTAGACGTTACTTCTGGATTTTGGAATGTGGCACTTGATGAATCTAGCAAATATTGTACTTTTAATACGCCGTTTGGTAGATACAAGTTTCTTAGAATGCCTTTTGGAATTTGTTCAGCGTCAGAAGACTTTCATAAAAAAATGTTTGAATACTTTGGGGATATACAAGGTTGTGAGATGTACATTGATGATATTTTGATATATGCTATTGATAAAAAACAACACGATGAAATACTGAAAAAAGTGCTAGATAGATGTAGACATATTAATTTAAAATTAAATAAAAATAAATGTAAATTTGGATTGGATGAAATAAAGTATTTGGGGCACCGTATTACAAAAAATGGTTTATGTCCCGACGATTCACATATATCAGCCATTAAAAATATGCCTATCCCAAAAAACAAAAAGGATGTGGAGAGGTTTTTAGGCATGATAACCTATGTCAGTACATTTATTCCCAATCTCTCTGACAGAACATTACCACTTAGAGAACTGTTAAAGAAAGACATATCGTGGCACTGGAATGAGAGACATGAAGAATGTTTTAATTATTTAAAAACATGTTTACTGAAACGTCCTGTATTACAATATTACAGTATGAATAAACACATAGTTATATCTGTAGATGCTAGTAAGAGTGGTTTAGGTGCATGTCTTATGCAAGATAACTTGTCAGTGTGTTATGCTTCAAAATCATTGACAGAAACAGAGCAGAGATATGCACAAATTGAAAAAGAACTGTATGCATGTTTATTTGCTTGTGAACGATTTAATGTATACATTTATGGACGTTCCGACGTGACGATAGAAACAGATCATAAACCGCTCATTAGCGTAATAAAAAACCCACAGTAGACGCACCACTCCGTTTGCAAAGAATGTTGCTTAGATTACAACGATACACATTTAATTTAGTATATAAACCTGGCATACATTTGTACATAGCGGACACCCTATGTCGCGCATATGAACAGAATTCTGAAGATGATACTAGTCATACAGACCAAGACGAAATGTGTGTGGTGGGCGAAATAAGGTCTATCACGTCGAAATATACAGATGCACAATTTTGCAAAAAATCACAGAAACTGATAATGAACTAATACAGTTACAAGAATATATTGCGAATGGGTGGCCAAGTAACAAAAGTGAAGTAGCTGATGCAGTTAAGCCATATTGGAATTTTAAGGAAGAACTATCTATGAATTATGGTTTAATTTGGAAAGGTAACAAAATATTAATTCCAAAAAGTTTAAGACAAGAAATGTTGCAAAAGATTCATATTGGACACCTGGGGCTGGAAAAGTGCACTTTAAGGTCGAGGGAGATAATGTTTTGGCCTGGTTTGAATAATGATTTAAAAAATATGATAACGAACTGTAACATATGTCTAACACATAGAAAAAGTAATCAAAAAGAGGAACTACAACCCCATGAGATTCCAAATCGACCCTGGGCTAAGGTAGGTATGGACCTGTTCGAAATTAAAGGATGTCACTATTTACTAATGGTTGATTACTTCAGTAAGTTTTTTGAAATTGTACAGTTGCCTGTGACTACTTCAGAATATGTCATAAATTGTATAAAGAATATATTCAGTCGTCAAGGAATACCAAATATTGTAATGTCAGACTGTGGTCCACAATTTGTGTCACATATATTTAAGCAATTTGCACAGGAATGGAACTTTATTCATACAACATCTTCACCACGATATCCACAATGAAATGGACAAATTGAGCGGACAGTGCAGACAGTTAAAAATATCATAATAAAAACGAGTGAATCACACACCGACTATCGTATTGCACTATTAGAGTACTTAAATACACCGTTGGGTGATAATTTGGCATCACCGGCGGAGCTTTTGCAAAGCAGAAAGTTTCGAAGTGTTATTCCCGTGTCTGACAGGCTATTAAAACCTAAAATCCAGAAAAAGGTACATAAAAAACTAATGGAGCGACAGATAAAACAAAAAATGTATTATGATAAAAATGCAAGAAATTTAGATAAATTACATATTTCTCAGAAAGTGAAAGTGTTAGATTTAAATAAAAAACGCTGGGTATCTGGAACTGTAATTAGGATACTTAGGGATAGGTCATATGAAATTTTGTTACAGAAAGGCAATAGGATCGTTAGAAATCGAAAACATATAATAAAAGATTCACAACTCAGACATGACTCGCCCTCTGATTATAACCTGGATTATGATAACATACATATACCTAATTCGAGTTGCTCAACTCAGAATAATAATAATTATTATGTTACGAGATTTGGTAGAACAGTAATACCACCAAATAGATTGGGGTACACATAAAATTTTCATTGTATTTCTGTTAGTAAGTAAGTAATATTGTGTTTCGCATACAATTGTATTTTTAGACTGTAGGTACAT